TGTGGCGCCCCCAAGGAAATGGAGTCCTACTACCAGGAGATCTGAAGAGCCGGCCGCGACGGACTCCCCAGCTCCTGTCATGTTCTCTGGGCCCCGGCAGACATGAACTTGAACAGGTACAAGGGTTTATGCTTTTACTCTTCATTTCTTTCTTTCCATGTAAGCTTCGAATGTATTTGAGGCAATGTCCAAACTTTCAATTAATTGGTAAATGCCTTCAAAGTTAAAAAATAAAGCCGGTGGGGACATTGAAGAGGGGTATTTGTGGTAGTGTTGCCACACAGAGGGGGCTGATTCCGCCATGCCTGCTGAGTGTGAAGGACTCGCTAACCCAGGACCTGGATGTCACAGAGCGCCTGTGGCGTGCCACCCTGTCAGCGGGCAGGTCTCAGGCCTGCTCACGTGTGCACCTTCAGCGGGGCCACTGTGGATGTCGTTGGCTTCGCTTCTGGTTCTTTCTCTGTGACTGCGACTGTGCCAGTCCGTCAGACTGACCCGCTTGTCTCCTTGGTGAGTCCCACGAGAACGTGCACCTCTCCTTGACGGCATGAGAATGATCACGCTAGGCTGCCCTGCTTCGTGCCGTGTGGACACTCACATTGAGATGCAGGAAACCCCTTCTCCGCGAGGGCTCTGCGAGTCTTTCGTTGGTACTTAAGTTCGGGAGAGTCATCAGAAAGGAAAGCTTCCTGAGCAGTTCTAGAGGCAGGGTTTCCCAGCCGGTCCTCTCATCCCGGGGGAGCTATCTGGGAGAAAACCCTGTGCGCGGTAACTGCCAGGGCTGCAGGGAAGGTTGTTCAGAAGGCACCTCCACGTGCGGAGCAAGCTGAGCTCTGGAGGGGCACATTAGGTCATGTCACTGCAGTAGAGTGGAAGAGGTTCCTACCCTACACAGTTTGGCTTGGTTTTAAAACGATGTTTTCTTTTGAATGCCCACCTGTGTTCCAAGGATTGCGCTGTGTCTTGGTGACCCAGTCGTGAGTAAGAGCAGACGTGGTGCCTGCGTTTGTAGCGGGTCGTCGAGACAGTCATGGCGTACTTTCCCGTGGCTGTCCACGCGGAAGTGGTCACGGCGTCCCCGATGTCCTGCTGGACTCACCGTGTAACCAGCGGGAGGCACACAGTCACAGACTCGTGGGGTCGTTTCCTTGTGCTCTTTTTGCACGTGAAAGTTCAGTAATCAACAGTTTTTTGAAAAGGAGTCATGCAGATACGGTCGTACCTTTGTCCCAGAGTCTGCAGGAAGTCCTGGGGAGAGCTAGGAAGGCTAGCGCACGGGGTGGGCGTGCGCAGCAGCAGGTGGGGGTTGCCGGGCTACCGGGCCAGACGTCTCCTGAGGAAGAGGCATCTTACACTAGAATCTGACAGAGGGACTGGTCCAGCGCTTGTGTATAATGTATTTATCTCAGAGCCCCAGCCCAGGCCCAGTGCCCGCATTGGCTGGGATTTTATGTACTCACAACCAACAGTTACTGTAATATTTTTACTAAAGAGGGTAACTTGCAAACTAATTTTAATTCAATAAATTTTCGACTCTTAACCAATTTCTTTTAAGACATTGTATTTAAAATCTTTTTAGTTGCTCATACTCTGTAGAATATTGTCTTTCAACTATCTTAGTAGTCCCAGAAGATAACCGTCCACTTCACTTGCAGGTAGAGCTGCTGAGTGTCACTGATGAGAGTAGTCGCACGGAGATGCTCTGAGCACCCTGAGGAGAGGGCAGCCCCGAGAGCGGGCATTTTCCTTTTCCTCCTGTCCAAGGAGGAAGGCGTGTTGAGCTGATAGAGAGCAAGTAGAACAAAGCCAAAAGGAGCTGACCTCTGGCCTGGGCTAGGAGGCGAGTGGGGCTGGCCACAGCATGAGGGTCAGCAGTGAAGGACTGGGGCCGGGCCGGCAGGCGTGGGGTGGTCCTGAGCAGCAGCCCCTTCTTGGTGTGGACTTGGCAGGACGCCTGAGGGTCGTGCGGGGCCACCTGGGTCACTGAGGGGAGTGTCATGGGCTGTGTCACCTCTGAGATCGCATGAGCGAACGGCTGAAATCTGTTCAGCTCAGACTTTCACTTACTCTCGGAAAGATGTACCAAGATGTTAGAGATTGTCGTCATACAGCAGATTAAAAAGTCTTTAATGTTATGTAACAGCTTTAAATAAATTCAGTATTATGGCAGAAGGAAAAAGCAGAAACGAGCTATCATCGGTTGAGGAGAGAACTTACTTCTGACCGCTCCTTGGTGCCCTGCAGTGTGGATGGTACAGACAGGCGGTTAGGAGGGCCGACAGACGGAAGCCCCTCTGCAGGCCGGGAGCTTCTGTTAGTGCTCTTGTAGAAAATAAAGACCAAGCCTTTACCGATAGGAGGTGAGAACTCATGTCCTAGAGGAGGGACCAGCAGCTGGCGTAACGGCTATGTCGCTGGACTCCCACGTAGTCAACCGCGGTTTGAGTCCCAGACCCGGTGGCTTAAACTCATGCCGGGCGTGTGTGTGTGCGTGCCCAAGATCCCGAGAGGAGAATGGAGGAGAGGGGATTGTGGTGTGAGGCCTCTCCCCGGGGGGGTGATTTCTCGCTTTCTATCGCTCTGGCTCTGTCTTTCTGGTGAGCGCACGCGCCCTATAGCAAAAAAATAAGGAGGAGAGGGGATTGTGGTGTGACCATCCCTCCTGGGGGGTGATTTCTCGCTTTCTATCTCTCTGTCTCTGTCTTTCTGGTGAGCGCAGACGCCCTATAGCAAAAAAATAAAAAACCTCTCCATATGTCCTAGAGGAAGGCTGGGTAGAAGCCGACACGCCCTTATCAAAGTGAAAAATCCGTAGGACTCACAGTAACTTGTCAAAGGTTGCTGAAGAATGGGTATTTGAGGATCAGCAGATTGCGGAGTGCTTACGTCACTGGACTCCCATGTTGTCGACTATGGTTCAAGTCTAGGAACAGTGGCTTAAAAACCCATGTGTGGTGCATGCCCAAGATCCTGAGAGGAGAATGGAGGAGAAGGGATTGCAGTGTGGTCTTCCCCCCCCGGGGGGGCGTTAGTTCTTGCTTTGTCTCTCTGTCTCTTACCTCTTCAGCGAGTATACAACCCCTGTAGCAAAAATCTCTCTCTCAAAAAACAAAAACTGCTAATATGCATTTCTGTGCTGTTCCTAATCAACAGGCACCGCCTTACCGAGATAGCCAATGAAAAGTTTCGCTCACACAAATTAAAGATGATGGCAAAGATGGAGAAGTACCTTCACTCCAGCAGGTGTAGACGGAGGTGTGTGTCATTCACTCTACATCAGTTAACATGGATTTACAGATTGTGTTCTAAGAGAACGTTTTGTGGGTTGGTTCAGCCAGTAATGTGGTTGTTAAGGTGAGTGGGTCTCACATGGTCAACCATGTGGTTTGATTCCCAGACCCGGTGGGTGCATGTGCATGTGTGCCCAAAGTCTTGAAAGGAGGAAGATGAGAAGGGATTGTGGCACAACAGTCTCCCAAGGGATGTGCTCTCTCCCTTTCTCTTTCGCGCTCTCTCTGTCTTCGCTGAGTGCACACACCCTCTGGCAAGTTTGGAAAAAGAAGAAACTTGCTAAATAATTACAGGTGTTAGAAATATTAGTTGGTAGTACATGCATGCTGAAGTTTTAAGGCCACTGTCTTGTACCTGAGTAAGCCGGCGTAAACACAGCTGCTCCTTATGAGTGCCCTGTTTCACCTCCATGGACTTAGGGACCCCTCTCCGTCTGTGTGAGTCCCGGGAACCCTGTTTCTTAGCCTCGGTGGCTTTCCCCGGTTGGTTGGTACTCACTACCCGGCGCGTCAGGGTCACACGCGTTTCATCGGTAAGTTCGCACTCTGTCGTGCCCCGTAGGAGTAAACGAGAGACTGCACTGGCTTTCTCTTACTGCGGGGGGTGCCCTGTGCCTTTCTGGTGTGTGTCTCAGGCTTTTGTATGGGTAAAGTCGCATTGTTTACTGTGGTGTGCGCGACACCGTGGCACCAGCGTACCGCAGGTGTCGCCTTAAAGCCCCTCGGCGAGGAGTGCCTATAACGAGGTCACAGGTGAATCTAGGAATGACGATTTTGCTTCGGCATTTTCAGTAATGAACTTAACATGTGTCTTGTTTAATTTAAAATCGTCTTTTGGACAGAATCATCTTGTCTCATTTTGAAGACAAAGAGCTACGAAAAGCCTCCTTGGGCGTCACGGGGACTGAAAGGTGCTGCGACAACTGCAGGTCCAGGTAAAGGTCGCTTCTAGCAGACACTTCAGTCTCTGCTTTTCCTCCTTTTAAAGTCATATTTAACTGGCATTTTCTTGACTGATGTAGTACATTTATTTAAAGACAAAAACAAAATTTAATTTTAAAGAAATAAAGCAGTGGGACCAGCAGTTGGTGTAATGGCTATGTTGCTGGACTCCCATGTAGTCAACCGTGGTTTGAGTTCCAAACCCAGCGGCTTAAACTCACTCTGGGTGCTTGTGCGTGTGTGCCCAAGATCCCGAGAGGAGAATGGAGGAAAAGGGGTTGCAGCGTGGACATCCCCAATGGAGGAAAAGGGGTTGTGGTGTGGACATCCCCGTGGGGGTGATTTCTCACTTTCTGTCTCTCTGTCTGTCTCTGTCTTTCTGGTGAACGCACATGCCCTATAGCAAAAACCTCTCCAAAAAAAGAAAAGAAAAGAAATACATCAGCGACACGGTAAACAAAGTGTCACCGAGTTAAAAGTTACATCGAGTGAAATTATCTACTGGGTAGTTGGAAAAGTCACGACACTTTTTTGCATAGAAATACATGTCATTACTGGGGCTGGGAGATGCCGTGGTGGTCAAGGGCACTGGGCTCCTACATGACTGACCATGGTTCGAGTACTGGACCTGACGGCTTGCTTTCTCACTCCTTACCCCCCCACTCTGTCCCTGTCTGGTCAGATTTAAATAAATAAGCACATAAATTAAAAATTAAAATAATTAAAAAAAAACACATCATGACTTTTCCAATGGCCAGCGTAAGATGGATTAAAATGTGACCCTGTCCTGTAAGCTGCCCATGAGGTGTCCAGTGTGAGAGTAATTGTATAGGCAGGTTAAAAAACAATGAAACATTAAATTCTATGAAAACAGATCAGAGAAAACTGAAGCTGTCTTAATACCGGGCAGTGGGTTTCAGAGCAAAGGCTTCCACCGGGGTAAAGAAGGACGCCGCGTGATGTGGAAGGGTCGGTCCCCGGTCTGAGCACACAGGGAGTGTGTGCTGGTAGAGAGCATATGTGTGCGCGTGAGAGGGCCACGCGGTGTGAGACGTGTCCTCTGTGACCCATATCCTCGGCCATGTGGGTCCTGGCTACATGCGCAGCATTTTCAGGCTGACCTGGGGTCGGAACCTGAGGGTGGCCGTGTGGCTTCCAGCACTGCACTGAAGTTGGCTCTTCTACCGACTGCCAGGCTAGGCCAGTTGTGCTTAAGGAACAATTATTGCATAGGAGACTTTTTTTTTTTTAAGTTATAAACTTTTCCCCCAGAAACAGAACAAAACTTTTCCTCCAACACAGCCTAACACAGAAGTCCACCGTTTCCACAGTGGAGCAGAAAGCTGCAGCTGTGACCCTGAGCTCTGCTTGCCTGGCCTCCTCTTCCTCCCTCCAAGGTCGGGAGGCTCCTCCCTGAGATGGCCTGTGCTGCTCTGTGACCCGCAGCGCAGTTCGGCTTTGGTTTTTCACGGCTGCCGTGAACTTTACTTGTCACTTCGGAAGCAGCCGGCACGCTGGAGGTGCTGTCTACTTGGCTCACTGTCATGCCGAGTCTCCTTATTTCTAAGTACAGGCCGTGGCCACACCCTGGCCTTCTGATACCCTGTCATTTTACTCAGGTTGGGCCGCTGCCCCTCTGTGGAGGACCCGGACGATGCCCTCCAGGACTTTGGCCTGCAGGCATTCCAGCTGCTGTCTGCTGTGGCCACCTTAGGCGAGAGGTTTGGAGTGAGGCTCCCGATACTATTCCTCCGAGGGTCTGTAAGTACATCTGACAGCCTCCGTAGCTCTTCTGTTACGCCGTTATGCTCTCCTTAGAGATTCGCTGCGCCATGACGAGCTTTGGCTGCAGATAAATTACTAGGAGCTTGGAGAGTCAGAGTCCCAGTGAGACCGAGGGCCGTCCCTTCTGAGAAAGCCCGCCTTGGCGGGGCTGAGGCTCAGGTGCGCCTTGGTCTAGAAGCAGGGTCAGCCCTAGATCAGCCCTTCTCGGCATAATTAAGGGAAGTTAACTTTCATGTGTCAAGGGGCACCTAGTGGAGAACCAAACTGCATCTTTCCGTGTCCGGGAAAATTATTGCGGTTAAATTATTTGAGCAAAGTTTTGGTCTCAGGGATTGTTTTGTGAATGTCTAATACGTGTTTGGCAGCATTTTTGCTTTTTCCTTCTATTCTCTTTTCTAACAGAAGTGTTTAAAATCCCAGGAAAATGTCTTCCTCTTTTCTTTTGCTTTACCAATGAATATCAGTTTGATTGAGCTACTTTCTATTCTCAGTGAGGAGCTGGCAAGCTTTATGCTCCCAGCCGTGGCCAGCTTTGAGGAAGACTCAAACCGCAGTGTCTGGGACTTCCCTACTGACCCTTCATATATGTGGGTTATCCTGATTTAGAAGGCTACAGGGGAGGCCAAGTGACACATGTTGATATTAGAATAAACAAATCAAGACTGGGAAATAGTTTACCTGGCAAACGTGCATTTATTGAGAGTGTACGTAAAAATCTTACATTGTACGTAGAATCTTAAAAATCATTTATGAAGGGACCAGCAGTTAACGTCATGGCTATGTTGCTGGACTCCCACGTAGTCGATCACGGTTCGAGTCCCAGGACCCAGTGGCTTAAACTCTCACTGGGCGCATGTGCGTGCATGCCCAAGATTCCTAGAGGAGAATGGAGGAAAAGGGATTGCAGCATGGCCATTCCCCCTGGGGGGTGATTTCTCGCCTTCTGTCTCTGTTTCTGTCTTTCTCGCGAGTGCACACGCCCTATAGCAAACAACTGATGCCCCCCCAAAAAAAATAATAATTTATGCCAACAGTTTAAAATCAAGTACTTGAATGTTCATGTAAATATTTTTTGAGTTTTTATTTGGTTAGAAACGAACATTTAAGTTGATTGTGAAATATTTTTAATGGTATATTTGGAAACTTTTATTAACTTCAGGACTGATGTTTTTAGATTTTGATGGAGTTTAAAGTTTTGTTTTTTTTTAATTACAAGTTTGATTAGAAATTTCATTGTGTAAGAGTGGTACTGTGTTTTCTTAGGTGAAGACTTGTAGCAAGGGACAGCTCAACTGTAATTGCTATCTGTGAAAGTGTCTAGTCTCTGCCACCTTCAAGACCTGTGTCTCCCAGCTGGAGGTACAGTTTACCACAATTACCCCGTTTTAATTTGATAGGACTCTGTCGTACCCAGTGTCAACAAGGAGGTGCCAGCAGGCCCCTCCACAGCTGCCCTGGCCCGGCCACAGGAGGGATCGGGTTTCACCTGTTATTTGAAAACCAAGTCAGGCAGCCTGCTTGACAGTCTCTTCTGGGAGTTCTCAAATTAAGAAGTTGATCCTTTGTGAAATTTTATATACCCTTGCTAGATCAAAGTGTAAAACTTTGTAAAAAGTGCCACTTCGTGAGAGTTTGCAGACACTCGGTGCTCTGAAATGAGGCAGGTGTTCCCCGTCTGGTGATCTTGTCTGCTGGGGTATTGCACTAAAAATTATCATAATTCCTCTGAGAACTTAGTGAGTTGTTCCCCTACAACTAATTTAGGAAAAATGAGTATCTTTGTAGGTGATTTTGATCTGCACACTGGTAAGAGTGTTGGGCCGAGAGCCGCTGGTGTTCGGTGAAGGGGTGGTTGTGTAAATCCGTGCACGTGCAGTCCCATCAGCACAGGGCCCTCTCTTTGGCAGGGTTTCCTAGGTTGTGTAGAGGCACATAGCCTGCAGCTGGTGACTGCAGTTAAACGTTTTGCTTTAAAGCTCGGTTTTGATCAGAGACGAGACAGTGGCAGTGCTGCCCGAGGAAGTCCACGTCAGCCGTCTAGGCCGCTCCCTGGGAGCCTTCCAGGCCTCGTGAGCGCTCTCAGGTGTGCAGTGGCCGTGGCTTTGGAGAAGCAGAGACAGCCCCTGACTTGTGTGACCAGGAGGCTGTGAAACCGCCTTCCTGACCACCTTACCACCCTGCTGTGGCTCCCAAACTAGGCAACGCTTTCAAATCTCCAGAAAGTGTGTGCACTCGTCAGGGAGACAGAGACAGGGAGCACGGCAGAGGGAGAGACCACCCACTGCCCCGTGGGTGGTCACCCCGAACCCCTTCGCCGCCTCTCCTCCATCCTGACAGGATTCTGAGTGTGCCACCGGCCGACACCCCAACCGCGCATGGCCCCTAGGCTGCAGGCCCGGCTGGACGACTCTGCTGTGAGGGGGACCTGTCCACAGGTGGCCGTTGGGGCTGCCGTGGCTTTCCCTCTCTGGTTTCAGACTGTCCGAGAGGACATGTCACCCGTTCTAACGTTCCGGACAGACGGTTCCCCGGGACTGGAAGTATTCCACGCGAGAACAGCTGCTTTATCTTCTGGTGCTATTTGCACGAGGAGCCGCAGCCCTCAGTGACTTCCTGGAGCCCAGAGTGCAGCTGTGAGCTTTGTCCCGGCTGGTAGAACTAGCGGTGTGCCTCGGACACTGGGGTGCACTGGTGCCGGCAGCCCCCAGGGTTCCCGCTTCCCGAGCTGTAGTCGAACTGCCCACCCACTGCCTGCGCCCACCTCTGTGGACACTCTGGCACTTCAGGGCCAGGGCTGGACTGGGCGAGACTCACCACCTCACGGAAGGTGCTGGCAGAGGGAGCAGGCAGCGCTCAGCACACAGCACACCGCACAGCGCAGGGGTGGCCACGGCGGGCAGTGCGGCCGGAGCTCGGGAGGGAGCCTGCCCGGGGCCGGAGAGGTCTGTGCAGGTGTCGCCCGGACTTGGTGTTTTGTGAGGGATCCAGGCAGTGGTGGCGAGATTGCCAGTGTTGCCCGCCGGACGTTGGGGGAGGAGGCAGGGAGGGTCCAGCTGGAGGGGAAGGCAGAGGCAGTCCTGAGGCTGCTGGAAAGGGGAGGGAGCCCCTTTCTGCAGCCCGCCCGCCCGTGCCGTCTGCTCTGCGATGCAGACTCTGGGCCCAAGCTCGGAACTGGGGTATCTCCATGAGGGTGGCGGCCACCAAGCCTCCTGCTGGCCCTGGTCCCAGGACTGGGCCTGCCACACAGGCCTGCCGGGGCAGGGTGCCCTCCCGGGCCCTGCCGTGCTGGCCGGAGTTCACGTGAGGACGTGGCGAGGTTTTCTCCCGCCAGTACTGCTGCGGAATCCTGCCTTTCTCAGAAACACCGAGGACGTGTGTGTGTGCTCTGGCTGGTCCCTCTCTTGCTCTCCCACCTGCTCGCCGCAGGAGTTCCACGTTTCCTGAGGTGAGAGTTTTGGGACTCTTCTTTTTTTTTTTTCAACCTTTTCTTTAGGCATGGCCCCCTCCTGTCGACCTCCTGGCTGTGACCCTGTGCCACCAGGCTGGCTCTTTATCAGACAGGATCTAGGGTGCCACCCCGGCAGGCCCCCAGCTGCAGGCCTCCCGTGGTGGCCTCCCAAGTCACAGGACTGCAGGAGAACTCTGCTGTGCCTGGCCTCCAGTGCAGCTCGGTAAGGGAGAGAATAAGGCGCAGACCCTCACTGGGGTGTCACCTGTCATCGGGAGGCGTCGTGCCCAGAGCTGCAGGAGTAGAGGACTGTGCACCTCTCCCCCTCCCCTCCGCGGGCAGTGACGGCCTCGACCGGGCCAGGCTTTACTCTGCGCAGACGCGGCGTCCCCAGTCCCAGCCCGCTGCTCCTTGTGCTCGCCTAGCACTTCCCAGCAAGGTTTTCAGGGGGGGTCTGCGGTCGGCGAGCACGTGTGTGTGCCGCATCGAGGCCTCCTTGACAGCCCATGGCCAGGCCCCGTGTCTCAGGAGCAGCTTCCTCATCTAGACAGCCCTGCTGTGTCGGAGGGCGCCCGGAAACAAGGGTCGTGGGGACATATCCTGGGCATGCGACAGGCAGACCACCTTGCAGGGAGCGGAGGGCGCTCTGCTCCGCGGAGGAAGCATCCGTCCATTGTGTGAAGCCCCTTCCCATATTCTGCCGCAGCCCTGCTTTTAGGAAGTGTTACTTGGTCCAATTCTGATTCTAGCTGAAAAGGAATATTATCCTTTAAAACGGGCCTTTTTTTTTCTATTTTTTATCAGAGAGCAATCTCTCTCCTCTGCTCAGTGGTTGCCATGGAAACCAGACTGCAGACTTACTCAGTGCAGTGTCCAGAGCTTATTGATCACAAGGGAAGGCACCGCCACTCCATTCGGGTGGGAAAGAGGCTCAGTGTCCCCCGCTAGTGGACGAGCTCGTTCCTGCCAGGCCACTCCTGCTCGTGAGGGGACAGCAGGGACAGCACCTGAGTGCAGGTGTGTGTCTGCGGGGCTGTGTGCGTGCACGCGTGCACGGTGTGGCGGTGAGCACGTGGGGCTCGCACCTGGAGGCCTGGCCGCCCCAGCTGCAGTGCGGACCTCAGGCCGCATTCTCGCAGCTTTGGCCGGGGCTGGCTGCTAGCAGCGTGAGTGACCCGGGCCCAGGACAGACCCGGACCTCAGCGCTCCGCCCGGCCCAGGCCCAGGACAGACCCGGACCTCAGCGCTCTGCCCGGCCCAGGCCCAGGACAGATCCAGACCTCAGTGCTCCGCCCGGCTCTGATCTGTGCTGCCCAGTCAGCCTGTGTTTAATAACGTGACAGTATTTATTTAAGGTATGCAGTATGGCATATGAGACCGCACATGCACACGTGTATGGCTGCCATGTGTGCCTGCACGTGTGTATGTAACATGGCCTCTGTGGGACATAGCCACCGCTGCTCACGTGACCTTGTTTTTGTTAGCTGGCAAAAGCCTCACAGAAGCGCTCACCCAGCGAGGTCTCCATGGCAGCTCAGGCCCCTTAACCATAGCCCTCAGCCTGCTCACCTGCAAGGGTGCTGTCTCACTGAGGCGGTCCCTCGAGTCAGGGTTCACCGAGGCAGCAGCTGCTGGCAAAGACAAAGGAGCCCCGGGCCCGGCAGGTGGCATGAGGCCAAGGGCACTGGACTCCCACGTGGCTGACGGCAGTTTGAGTCCCGGACCTGGTAGCTTGCTTTCTCACTTTCCCTCTCTCCTTTCTCACTCTGTCCCTCTCTGGTCAAATTAAAAAATAAATAAAATAAATAAATACATAAAAACAAAAAAGAAGGGG